ATCAGCACCGTTTACAATTAGGTTTAAAGACTGACAAAAGAAAATAAATAGGAGAAAAGTCTCCGTCCCCTGGCTGCAGCTCATTATCAGAGGGGGGAATTCGTGGCTGGGAAGTGTTGCAGTGCCCAGAGGCAGCTGCAGCTCCATGAAGGGGTCAGTGATGCCCAACACCACAGGCACATACACTGCTCAGCCATGAGGGTCTGTGCTGATGGGGTTGGGGGGGTGGTGGGGGGGTGGTGGTGTCACTCAAAGCCAGCTCAGTCCCCTCCCAAAGTGGGTACTGGCAGAAGAATCAAGAAAATGATGCCTCAACACCCCACAGGCTTTGCTTTATCTACAGAGATCTCTCCTCCCCTCCTCTCTGCTTGGATGGGTGAAGCTTCAGGAATTTCTCAGTCTGCTCCTGGGGTTTCTGTGCTAGTTCATGGCCAGGAGCTCTTGCTGAGCTTCCCAGCCTTTGATTTGGAAGGGGCAGAAAGGCCATCTGGTCAGCCAGGGTGGGTTATTTCTGTGGTACTGGGTTTTTTCTTAAAAAACAAAAAAAAAGTGAGCTTTTACTTTTCTGTTCCCGGGGCCACCACATGGCAGAGTGTTCCCTTTGGAGACATCCAAAATAACGCAGCTGAGATTTGCTTTGCAAGTAGAGACCAAAACTGCACGAAAGCAAAGTTTCCAACAGAGGAGAAACTCGCAAAGAGAAACATGAAACCCCCCCCCCCAATGACCTCAACTACAGCAGGGAAACACCTCGGTGGTTACAGAATATTTTCTCCGGGAAAAATTGTAAACGGTGCTGATACAGATGGATTAACTGCTGGAATAGGAACCGGCTGCCAAGTGAGAGCCTGGAGAGCTGCACGTCGCCTGGAGGGGCTGAGGGACAGAGGATGCTGAGGGAAGTCAGGATGAGCCCCTGCATGAGCAGCTCTGAGCTGTGCAGAGAGACTCCCAGAGGGGATGGAAAGCACAAATGACCCCATCAGCCAACAAAAGGGTCTCTGTGAGCACCCCGGGACCCCACAGCATGATCCAACCCCGAGCAAGCAAAAGGCATCAAGTGCATCCCCACAGGGCAAGCCAGAGTGTCCCAAGCCATGGGCACGTGTGGGTGTGAGAGAAACACTTCCCAGAGCAGGGATGGGCACAGCTGGGGGAGCTGCTGTGCCAGCCGCTGACCACAGCTCTGCCCAGGCAGCACTGGGAGCTGGGCCATTGGAAAATAAGATCAATCCCACTTTTCTAGGAGAAGAGACCGGCTCTGTGGAGGTGCCTGGTGTATCCAGACAGCTCTGGAGCTTCTTGAGGATTATTCACCCGGCTCCACATGCTGCCAACCAAAATAAATCAATTCAGCTCTTGTTTCCATTTTAGGAAAATAAATCCTCTGGGACAGGCTGGGAGCTGGTGCCCTGCTAGGAGCCACGTGCTATCCAGCCCAGCCCTGGTGGGATGTAAACCGGACTCGGAAACGGCTTGGCCCTACTGACCTGTGCCCCTGCCTTGCCGAGGGCAGGTGATGCCCCACAGCTCAGGACAGACAGCAGGACACAGCTAAGAGGTTTATTCAGCCTCCTACCACCGAGCTGCCTGGAGAGCTCTCCCACGCCTTGGGTGACCTTATCCTTATCTCCCTGTGTCCTTCAGCCTGTCACAGTGGCCAGTTGGAGCAGCAGGTCCTTTGAGGCTGGTTTCCCATGACACAGCCCCTTGTCTCAT